TGACATCTTGGACCGATGCCAACTGCCTACTTTATACATATATATATTTTCATCATATCTCAAGTTTGTTAGACATCGTAAAATATAATGGCGTCAATCGTCTGGATTGCTAGATCGTCCGAAAAGCTGGAGGTATGATAAGAAAGCAGCATCGTGACATTATTCGCTTGATGTATTTGGACTTGTTTACATTCGAACTCGATAACTTATCGTGTTTTTAGATGAGCGGCCCAAACGTTTCAAACAACTTACATATACGCATTATATATATAAAGACTACATTGGGATTTTTATGCTTTACTTTTAAAACTATCTAGGCAAAAACAGATAACTAAACATAACTTTTTTATGTGCTGGAAAGGTTGTTCCTGGCAGACGTCTTTAATATGTATATACAACATCCACCGAAATCACAGTTGTAATACAATAATAATATATCAATAACTAGTCGCTTTCCTTCCTTTATTTATAGCAAGTAAATTGTTTAAAGTGCATCAGGGGTTATTGTTTTATTTACTATTCTTATAATTTATGGCGAAAATTTAGGTGTATTAAAAATGTATATTTAAGGTAGTTTGGATGCTCTAGCTTTTTGAATCGAACTTTATTTGTTCAATAAACATCATCCCAAAGTCATTTTACAGTTGGCAATAACGTAAACAGCTGGCTTTGGATAGAAAACGAAATTTTTGCGCCGTGATGCGTTTGATTGCGCACCAGACAAACTGCCTTTCCCCTGGTATCAGTAATAACGAATGAACGCATGCCCGTTGTAACAAACAGCTTGCCAACATATATGTCCCAGTTTTGTACTGCACCAAATATATATATATCAAGTTCAGTAGATGCTTTTATATCACTTCTTATATAATAATTATATTTTTCAAATTCACTAGACAAACGAATGCGAAAACCTTGCAAAAGCTTCTGTATGAACTTTTTACATAAGTTGCCCTTCATACATAAAATGCCCTTCAGAGTCGTTTTACGCCCTCTACCCGAGAGAGAACTTAACTAAATAGACGACGGAGCCAGTGAGACTGTTGATAAGAATAAAGCAGATTTCGCAATGAGATAATTAGCGACCGGTCAGTATCCTCCTACACACAGGACGTCTGTGGGGGTTCCTTGTCTAGAAGAGAAAACCGTAATCAAGTCCCGGATCTATAGGGCCATTTTTCTAGCTAAAACAAGTAAGGTACTTGTACGATTTTTTAAAGATGCTGCCATCGAACCCAGGTTCAGTTAGAGCGGAGCGACAAAATAAAACCAAATTTCACTATTACTACAAGTAAAGTTACATACATAGTTGGCTCTTATGTAAATTAGAGTATATCTATATTGTCTATTAACTTTCCAATGTCAGGATTTTTTAGGTATGTGTGCAGTTGTTGCATCTAATGGCTGCATCAATGTTATCTGTGTCTAAGAATACATCTATGGTGTTCAACACATTTTTGAGCGGGTCGGTTTGTTTTCCTAATTTTCCCTGTTTGGTTGATAAAATATCCAATGCAAAATATCACTTTTGACAAAAATATTATCAAAGCAGTCTGTAAATAATTTATTTTGCTTTTGTAAAAATTATCACTTTAAATACCGTTTCGTCGGACTAAACTAAGAGGTCCATAAGGCTAATGTTTCAGGAATACTCGCCAGTACGAATCAGAAGTATAATTAGTAATTTACTATCTGTTTACATATGAAGTTATGCACCAAAAGCATATGAAAGATGCTCTTGGTGCATAACTCACGACAACTTCTAGTTGCCTTATACTAGCAATAATTCCTGCTTTACTAAAGCCTGCGGCCTTTTGATATGCGACCTCGTACAGACTTTTGTGTTGAAGCCAATTACATATTATTCGAGAAAAATAGGGTATAATTTTGTCCACTGTAGAATACTCACAACCACTAGAACTACTCGAGCGCCTTCGATCCGACCGTCGCAGCAAAACAACTGCATTCTGTGCACCAGACTGCAAATAGAAGGACACCTTTACGAATCGTTTTGGCCTATCCTTGGTTGTAGGTTATGCCAAGCAGAAGCTGGCAACTCACTAAGGACCAGGGACAATATTATATAATAGCTTCATGTGAGATATGTTTTAGGCGAACCTCGAGAATGCTTTCCAGCAAACTCGTAGGGCGCTGCAACAGTGACTCTCGACTGCCAGAGCATAGCATATCTTTAGCTTTTAGGGCAGACAGATTTGTTTCTGCTTCAACGTTCAACGAAGAAATACTGCGAAGTGAATTGGGGGTGACGATTTTGGCTTATATGCTATATCTAAGCTGTACATGTAATGCTAAAGGCAAGGAGGTCTTTCAATATGGAAAGTTTCAACTGCGTAGCATGGCAGGTTGAAGTAGCTGATTACTTAGCCTGACGTTCGAAGCATCTCGAATGAATCTTCTAGCATTTATGCCATCAAATGAATGGATGTTGTATCGTAAACCTGGTAAATTTCGAAGTACTCAATCGGGAGCCTCGCAAAACTGAAAAGTCAATTATATGCCAACCGAATATCTGATAACACCTAGTAGACGGGCACAAATCTTTATGGCCTTCAACATACACGTTAGATTAACGCGGGGCTGCCAGTGCGAAGGCTCCTATCCGTTTGGTGCTGTTGAAACTTTTACCTGAAATGTCTCTTAAAACTATCAAAGTCTTTAAGCACAAAGATAGACAGACAGATAGCATAAAGTGCTTGTTTGATGTATCTCATTAAAATCGGTTCCTATAAAATAATTCCATACGTCGGTCTTCGCTACAGACGCGGAGTGCCCTCTAAAACGGTACGATTTAACATGGAAAACATTGAAAATCAATAATTATGTTAATGTTTAATCTCAGTTCTGTTATTTCACCACGGTTGGATAGTGTTTACATCAACATCGTTTTCTATTAATCCATGCTGTGACTTTTTTTGTAGATAGTTTCAGGAAGTTTTCGGTTTGCAATGGACAATAGTGAAATTCATACAAATAATTGTCAATAGTTTAGATACCATAATCGTAACACGATGTACGTTTTTGAACAAGTTAACTACCTTGTTAACTTAAACTGGAGTAAATTTTTCGTTAATTTATACAATAGAATTTTGCCGCAGTAGAGTATTTACTCGAAGGAATGTATGAATTGTGTTTTTATATCCTCGATAGACATCTTGATCACGGTATGGACAAACACCGCCGCAATGTTATTTTTTTTTTTCGTCACAACATGCCTTGTCCTTATACGGATGTTACTTTTCATGCTTCAATCTCCTCGCTACGGCATTCCCATCAACTGCTTGAGGCAATTTTTATTGCACAAGCTGTGGCCATTAAACCAAGAGTTTCGAACAGTTACGATCGGTAGCGTAAGTCTTCTCTATCTAGTTGGCTCTTTCTTCACTCCCAGTACCCCTACGACTTAAAAATTATTTTCGCACGTGGTGCCTTTTCACCTTTGCTCTCATCCTACCGCCTCTTGTACCAGAAGCTCTGCGGGAAAGAACTGTAGGAACAAAGATGAGGCAGGTATTTCCAGCCAGTAGGCTCTAATCTCTCGGTAAGTAGGAGTGTTTCCTATGTGAATAAGTTGTACTTTGACAGATGACTTGCAGAGAGTGGGTCAGTTGCAAGGCTTCCGCGATGTGAAAACGGCGGCAACTACCGCGTGGGCGCTGGTGTAGGTGCAACCGACTTAGCCAGGCCGGAGCCGTGGGACTGGTAGTCCTATCTTCTCATCTTGTTTCCCTTTCCTTATTCCCCTCTCCAGTTTTGCACTGGAGTCACCCTTCCCATCGCTCCGTTTTCCGTTGTCCCACCAGACACGTGTGGAGGAGCTCCACTGCGGACGGGTCTCACATAGAGTATCTACTATACTGTATGTGATTGCAATACACATTAATACTACATCCTGTGTAAACTAGGAGGAGGCCCGCAAGTGGCTAGAAGCAAGTTGTGCCGGTTTCGAGCGGCGGGGGGCACAGATCTCGGGCCGGGCGGAGGGCCCAGAGAAGAATCTCAGTAGGACCGACTTCAGCAAGAACAGCGCAACTAGAAGCTGAAGACTATTGCTTTTCAACTAATCATCATCCGACAGTAGTACAAAAATAGTTTGTTCGGACCAGAAACCTTAAGTGAACGAGGCTCGAAGAAAAGCAGGAAAGCCAACTTCTAGGATTTTCTATAAAAGAAACAGAAAAAAACCTCACGGTTTACCGCAAAACACCGTCGTCGTCGCCTTTGCCGTTCGGTTTCGTCACAAGCGTCGCGCCATCGCGTTGTTAGGCATCCGCACGCTTTATACCGCATCGCCAGTTTTGCTACTCTTAATCGGCTAGCATCTACCCAGTAGATTACTTGCTGGTTTACATTGTCTACAAGTCGACGGCGATTATAAGTAGCACGGCCGCTGTTTACCGTGTCGACATTCAGTTGATCAGAGCGAAAACAAGGAAATAGTTACCTGACAGTGTGTATGTGTCGATCCGGTGGCCTTGCCGAAAGCCCGCTGTCAAGTCCTAGTTATTTTCTTGTAGCGATACTTCAACGTCGTTTGTCATCGTTACAAAAGAAGTTTATCACCGCTCGACCACTACAAGTTGCGGATAACCATTCTCTTTATCGTTTTTCGACGCTTTTTGCTTTGCAACGATGTCGGCCGCGTCAACTTCGCTGTTTTGTCTTTAGTGAAGCCTTACTATATGCTCACGTCTGGCATCCGTTCAACAAGTGGCGGCAGCGATGCCAGTGGATTACTTGAGGTTCTACAGCAGCGGTTTAAGGCAGTCGTGGGGATGTCAGTAGCGGTACCTACAACAGAAAATCGACAAAAGTAGTTCTTAGGAGATAGCCAACAGTCAAACAGTAACAACAACAACTGGAGGATAAACAAATTTGATTCAATGAACAGAGAAAACGAAACACGAAAAGATTGAAGAAGAGTGGGTAGAAAAGAGGTTCGGCAGAGGCGACGGCAGGCAAAGGCGGCGGCGACGGTGTGCTTTCAATCCGTTTAGTCAGTATCCCCTGCCTTTGTGTATCGTAGTGTTATCCCCTGTGCATTATTCTAGCGTTCTCTGTTATGTATGTGCGTGCTAATGGTGTATATCTCTGACAAGGTACGATTTGGTGAGGTAACGACGACAACGACATGGTCAGGTATCGGATGGCGGAGAACCAACTGGCAGAACAACCCATTAGGAAGAAACCAACTTCAAGTATTCGCTTTGCTGAGCCGTCAATCGACTCGTAAGTCGTTCAAACGGTCAATACACCACCATAGTAAAGCTACGACAAACAAGTAACAACCGATATTACAACGAGTATTATTAATAGTGGCCTACTATAAACACCGACTGCAGCTAACTGTGTACAGGCCGGCACGTCCAGCATCGGCGAAAGGCGGCTTAAAGGCCGCGGCGATGACAGTGGCCGTCAGGCCGCGTCGTTCTCCTGAAACATGTTTTTGGCGCTTCCAGCGCACGATAGCATTGACAACAAAGAATCGCTGTCCGGTGAATTGGTGTAGCGCGTCTCCATCATCCCGACTATTTCCATTAGACGGTGCACTCGCGGAGTGCCCTTTGCTACTACTATAGTAAGTCCAATTTCTAATACGATCGCAGCTCTGGAGGCCCGAGCTGCTTCAGTAGAATGCGCGTTAACGTCGCAGTCCCTTCAGCCAGCTCTGGGCGCCGGCTACATCCCGGCATATATCAGTAGTTCGACTGTGACATACCTGTTTAGATAATACGTACCAACAGTTGGCACACATTGGTACGGTTACTGTGGCCGTTGTGGCTTAGAAAACGCCGAACGTTGTCATGTTAAACGACTAATAAATTTAATGAAATGGGCTGATCGGTAATGATGGTGGCGCCTGTGATACATTTGTAGGTAAGCAACTAGTATCGAGCTGCGCCGACCTTACCTAAAGGGCTGGGAAACGGCGCCCCACGCAAAAGAGGCCTACAAAATGAACATGTGACGTTGTAACAGAAGATACAACAAGGGCAACCGCACCATTATTAGTTATGGCAACTTCTGTGCTCGTATACTACGAAGCGTGTGTGTGTTCTTACCCGACATTAGAAAATATCCTGTTCCGACGGCCTTTTTCGCTACTCGTTCGTGTAGACGGAGACACGAAACACAGCCGAGTTAACTGAGAGCTTCCGAACCGTCTATTCTACGACGTCTGCTGAAACTGGACATAGTTGTATCTGCATATATACATATGTATATATATATGTATATAGTGCAAGGCAGAGAGATACGCAAAAAACGATACACATATATTTATATAAAGAAGAAAAGAGCACGAGGGCAAACAGCGAAACGCCAGCTGATTTGTACTGACCCATTGACCATGTTTAAATGATTATGATTCGTTATACCTCCTCATTCTTTGCTGGCTGGCACAGTGTAGAGTGCAGCTTTCGTGAGTTCCGCGGAGTTCCGACACGCCAGTGAAACAGGGCAAGACTCTAAGTCAATATGATAATCCGCCCATAACCGCCAGCGTGGTGAAGTCATCTCTAGAGAAGCGCGTGCTATATATACATATATATTTTTTTTTATTCACCTATAATAGTTATCCGCCTATATGTTCCTCAAGATGGCTATTTTGACATTAACAATTCTGACAACACTATGTTCATTATGGCGAGGTCCGGCAGGCCGAACTATTCCCTACGGATTCGTCGTCCTAATCTGGCTAGTGATTCTTCTTTCTTTAACGAAAGGTGAGTATAGTACAGAGTCGGTGAATTTTGTCAAAACGAAAAGTTAAACGTCAAGGATTTTTTCTGAAGCGTTTGTGTTTGAAGAATGGCGACGAAAACAGAGGCGCGTTTTGCGTTAACCAAGCAATTAGACAAAAGTAGGCTGTTTTTCAAGGCTATTGACGTACGATTTGGTTAACTACAGCGCGCTTAACTTTACGTTATGCGACATACTTTTAGTGCACTATTATTGTTTAACTTTTGAAATAAGTTCGTAAAAAAGACGCCTGATGAGCTCAATATTGTATAGTTGAAGGAAAACTTGTGGCTTTCATCTGTAGTTGACCGAAAGTATAAGATACAACTTCGATTTGCTGCGCCAATGCTTCCTCTATGAAATGATTATAAACAATAGTCAAATATCTAGTCGCATGAAACAATGGTTTACAAAACGACTCATGAAAAAAATAACATTTTTAAAATGTAAACCAAGTTTTTTTATTGCTTAAGTGTTGCTCAATAATTATTTTTTCGTAACTTCATACCAAAACCTATATTAGGCCACCGAAACTTTTCGGAGACGTGAGTATAACTAATAACTAAGCCACGGCAACAAATATATAAAACTAATTTCCACAATTCGTCCACGTTGTGAATAGGTAGTTATCCTTCACAAATGCCATATTTTTAGATTACGTATTAATTTAGATACAATTCAGGCCACTGGGTTCTCCCTACTAAACTGATTTGAAGTTTTCTGCTCGATCCAATATGTAAAGAAGATAATATATCTGTACCTTACTAACTACTCTAACTGCCAATCATTAAACTACAATCCTTACTTCCAATTTAAATTCAGGCTAATTTCATTGTACTACCATCTATTTATATCTATATCAGCGAACTCTATGACCGTCATTTAATCCAGCATGCAGGATCTACAGGAGATATTCCACAAGTTTCTGAGTCGCGCCGAACTCTTACTATGTAACATGGTCAGACGTCTTTGCAATTGATAAAGCTCCCGAGTCGGCAAAAGTCTGTTGCTTTAAAGTTTACAAGAAAGTATGTCGTGAACAAGAGCTGGGAGAACTGAAACTTACTTATCTTCTGCTACAGCCATGTACATCACTGGGTTATTTAAAATACGAAGCCGACAGCAGGCATCAAACGGTTGCGAGCTTTCCTCTTCCTGGTAAGCTGTACAACTTTTTTTCAATTGGTTTAGATTCTGTTCTTTAGTGGGTAACACTTTTAAAGAACAGACACCACGGCAATAGATCACGGCAGACTAATCACGATTCAGAACGATCAGAAATGTTTTACATATTTTAATAGAACTAATTTCCTAATAGAAGCTAATTTGCAGCGTAATAGAAAATTCAAGTTTTTTTGTTGAATATTAAACTCCATATATATATACATATACTGTGCATACAGACATATATCACGTCCAGGAAGCTTTGAGGGAAGACTATTCTCCCACTCCTGAGGCTGTAAATGCTGCCCGTTTCAGGGACGGTCAAATATTATATATGATACCGCAGCAATGTCTTTAATTTTTTTTTATTTTGACTTGAACTTTGAGGGAAGTACCTAAAGTCCATTTTAATTAGCCCAAGTTCTGATCTTTAACGGAATTCTCGCTGTAAGCATTTGCTCGCATTACGAGCGTCTATGGAGCATAGTGGTTCAACTATTTTTATTTAAGTTTTTTATTTTTCAGAATATTCCAGGCTTATAAGGACTGTAACGTACAGTTATTAACACGTACGCTGAGCTTTTAGTGTTTTTATAACACCTGTAAATATATTAACAATTCCTATTTGTCGAAATAATCAATGATAAAATTGCGCGCAAGCAGGATCGCGAGCTACACCAGTTTGCTCGACAATTTGGCCCAGATAGGTGCCTATCATGGACTGGGCATATTAGGACTTAGAGTGCCTGGATGTGGTACAGCAATGCGTCGTATAGGGCGAAAAAAAAAACAAGAAGGTAAGCAACTCGCTATTCCGTCGTACACGCATCTGTAAAGCTACCAGAGCTCTTTCAGAAGCATCGCTTCTACGGGTAACACCCACTAAATATGAATGTGATTGAAAAAGCGAGATTTAAAAAGTTACACCGACCGGCTTTTTACTTCTGCTTCGGGAGACAACTTCACAATGTAAACGGCAAGTCCGCGCATGCACATTCGCACACACGTCGTACGCTGGTTCCTTTTCCACAAAAAGTAACATCGGGCTCTACCAACCGTCTGCCATGTGTTCCTCACTTTGAGGGACAGATAATTGAGGGAATCGGCTTTTACCGCTTTGACCACCCAAAGCCATTAGTGTCACGGGAATTGAAGCTCAGCCATAAAATGCCCCAGCGGACAAGATCGCGCCAGTCTGCCAGGGTACCGATTGCAGAACCATTTGCATACAGGCTTTGCACATTTTTCCAGTCGGCATGTCAGATTTCCTTATTGTAGGGAGTATTCCTTGACCGCATCCCACCGCTCGGTTTCCGTTATTGTTCGCTCTAGCAGGTCACACTGTTTCCAAGCTGTCTTCCATTTTTTCCTTTGCCTCCCATTAACTATCCCCTTTTTATGCTACGCTGATATAGCAAATTTCGGTGGCGCTCCTCTTCTAGCTGTTCGCTCAGACAGGCAGGCAGGCAGGCAGACAGGCAAACAGACAGCCAACCATCGGATCCGCGAGGTTTTTGTAAGCGTCGCGCAGATTTTGCATGACGGCTGCTGTTAGTCTGGTCCTAATAATCGTCTCGTCGCAAAGTAGCTCTGTGAATGATCCTGATACAAATGAGTTGGTTCCCAGCTCGTAACCAAGACTCCTTGTATATTCATTTCTCACGCGCTGGCGGCTGCTTCTGGTAGCGTTGCTAATCCTACGCCAGCTTTTTTTCCGCAACAATGATGGCTTTCTCCCCGTCTCGGTCTCCGAGATTTAGGCGCATGCGCTTAAAAGGAAGAGTCGTTGTACCGAGCAATGACCCTGTATCTTTAGAGCAAGACTTCACATCACAAACGCTGCTCCCGATCCAGTTGCCTCAAGGCACGGAAACGTTTTTTAATCCAACAAGAACCTGAGTGATCCGAGGGGAAGAGGAAATAGTACGGGTCAGATCCCTCGTTTCCACACCATTCCTAGAAATATTCAACGTGAGTAGGGTCTAAGCGCAATAGATCGATATTTTTTAGTATAACTAGAGTATCACGTTCAAAATAAACGACAAGAAAACGCTCATCAAATCGCCGATACAGACCTTCCACTTCAAAGGCGCTGCTAATGCACTTGTGTTTTCCATAGCTTGTTCCCTACTCAAGAGTAGATTAATAGGGAATGAGATGCTCGACCGGCTGTGCGCACATGGATGCCTTATTCTAGGCGACACGAAAAAGCTTCCGACTATTAGCGGGTCGGAGACAAGAGCCATAAGTATTGACAGGAAAGCGGTGGCTATATCAATTAAGCTTTTTGCGGATTTGACTCTAGGCTGAAAGGATCAAGTTAATATGTGTGTTCCGTCTAAACGCTGATGCGTGGATCTAAGTATCCGCTATACTGAATTCCGTATTATACCAAACATATAATCGTAGTTTGTCTTGTTAGAATACAATGCCGGTCATAGACTGAGTTAGCGTTAAACAGGGTGGAATAGATAGACAAGCACGTATACAGACCTATGCACCCCCTAACGATCAGTATGGTAATTTCTCGGAAAATTCAGTGCAATACTATTAAGCAATAGGCAGGCTACTGTCCACTGACCGAAAGACCGACCATCAACTGTTAGAGTGTCATTCATAGCTGACTATATTTCATTTACTGACGGCTATTAACAAAAGACACTCCGATACCAAGCCCGACGGCTTTTGGATGGAAGGCGGAAGAGTGACCTAAAAACGATATGAGAGGATCTTTATGCTACAGAAAGCTGACTGCGATAAAGCTCACGTCTAACTCTCATAACTGTGGTACATTACTTTTTTTTTAAGTGTACAAGTTTGTGTTTAAGGTTGACAAAGTGTGTTCCTATAACCAATTCCAGGTAAAAATCTCCGCTGGGGTTTTAACTACCTTGACACTGAGCATATCTACACAATGCTCGGGTAGAATTCTTTGAGACAAGTTCTTAGTATTGAAATTACAATATATAGAACAGTGAATTGTCGTCAGCATTGTACCGCAAATGGGATGAATTTGCATAGACAATATAGCATGTTAGGCCGATGTATCAGTATATATAAAATCAGACCACGCGCAGACGAGTGCTGCTATTTAACAATAAGTCCGGAAGCTTCGTTATGACGTGTCGATTTGTATATCCTTTGTTATTGGGGTCTGAGGATACTTTGTAGCTTATTCCCGAAAAACTATACAGCTTCGCTGAACGTGACAATAAATCCAGTTTCGCAATCGCCTGCTCTTCATATGTAGTTCCAAGATGGAGTCACAGTCACTCGGTTTGGCATCTGACACTAGCTCGTAGAGATTCGTATTATCGACACTGAATGTGGGGCAACAACTCAGGGTTTGCTCGTGTCAACGAAATGAGAGCTAAAGTTCCAAAAGTACGAACAGCTGTACTTTCTTAAACTTTCGTCCTTCGGTATACAACCAGAGCACGCTACTTGTGCCTGCTTGTCGTCTGAGCAGTAGCCAGTGTCAGTAGAGCTGAATTACTAGTATGTAATGGTGGTTTACATTTACAAGACAGTATTGACGATATACGGTTCCACCAATCAACATGTTATCCATAATCTTAACTTATTCAGTAGCATTCGTTCGCTGGAAGTGTTGCTACCTCACACCTCGTACTTGATGCTGGAGGAGAGCAGCGTCATGCTGACCTATAAATGGAGCCAGATATACAATATAAGGAAGCGTACTCATCGAGAAATGCATGCTTCAAACGAGCTGCAAAGACTATGAACGTGCCTCGATCTAAATAAAAATGAGGTCTGCTCCTCTAATACTTGCCGTCTGAGTACGACGTCACCATCAAAG